AACTCGGCGGTGAAGAGCTATTAAAGTGATGATGATTTGCCTAACTCACTTAAAGGAGAATCCCACAATCTACGCCAATTACCGTAGGATAAGCCTTCTCAATATCGCATATAAAATTCTATGGGTTAAGACCTGGTTTAGATAGATATTCACCATGCACCAAATTTTGAAAACGACCCGTGAAAAGAGGTTCGATTTGAAGTGTCTCAAAACTTGTACGGCTCTGTAAACTGACGTTAAATAACACCAAAAAATCCGTCAGATTGCTAAGGACTTGTCCGAGCCGTTTGATAGCAATTAAGATTTCAGATAAGGTAGCTGCTCATCGTGTGAAATCATTAGCCTCAACTATCGTGCCGTTAGTTCTGCATTCACCACACTAGATAAGGGAGCAAAGCGTATGGTTCTGGTAGGAAACGCGATATCTGCTGTCAAACAGTCATCGCATTCCTGTCTCGGTTCTCACTTCACAGTTGACAGTCGTAACTTTGAAATTGTAAATAACTTCGTTTAATTTGGAAAGAGCATTAACGCTATTAACAATTTCAGCCCGAATAGGCAATTGAAAAGAAATCTCTCAACGAACAAAGACAAGTCGTCCATCGTTTCTGGCCTGCTATATGATATGGAGATATGGACAATTACTATATCTGATGAGTCGGTGTTGAGAATGAACTCAGTAAATCAAGAGACAGCAGCTAGGCTGGCTAAGTCATGTATTTAAGCTTTCAAAATTTTCGATGCAGTACCCACTGGTGGAAGTATTCCATTCCGTTGGAAAGACTTCAATTAGAGTCTAACTGCGACAAGAAGGAATGAATGGCGCTAGGTTCTAATCGCGTAAGCGGAGTACACACCAGTAGAGCAGAATTTATTTCTTTCTGGATTGATATAATATTCTAGATTAATAAAAATTGAAATTTCATTACAATTATTAAAGGAAAATTTTCTTTATATCCTTTTTATGTCGTCAAAATATATTTTTCCATATATTTGTATGTATTTATTAAATATATGTATATTTCACTTAAAATATAAGCTTAACTTAATACTATTAACTTAATGCTATGAACTATGAAACATAAAAATATTCTATGGTTCGAGTAGGTGATTATTTTGCGAATAACAAAAAAGAAATAGTGTTTTTTTGTATTATACTTATGTAGATATCAGTTGACTATTTATATTTACCAAAGGTGTATCTTCTCAAATTACAACCCAACCTGCATTTACAAATATTTACAGAAAGAAAAGAAAAGAAAATTACAATACAAAGCAAGAGGGCATATTATATATGTATATACATACATACAGTTGCAAATAACAATTACCCGCAATTAAATAAATATAATGAAATTCTTAAGGCAGTTAGATGATTGAGTTTCCAAAATAAGCGGAAATAACTATGGCTTCCAAAACAGTTTTGTGATTTTCCTGTAAGAAGAACATTATATTTCGAAAAAAAATGATTAAGCCAATCTTTATGCATTAAGAGCATTATAAAAAGCCAGGCTTTGTAGGGAATATCTTTACACCAAAAGCAAAATCCAATTTTAATGACGAACCGCCTAACAGTTTGATAATATTTTTAAACAAAAATTTTTAAAACTTGCAACTCTAACATTTGATGGTATGAACCATAAATTTTTAAAACTTTAAAACTTTTCAAAATTCAATACAGAAACCGATTTTCGTATATTTTTTCATCAGATACAAAGCCTTTGGAAAATATTGATCTCTGTCTTATTAAAAAATCTCGTATAAAAATTCTAAACCGGTGAAAAATGGTGCAGTGGGTTACTGTGATCAAAAATTTTAAGAACATTTGTGGGAGTCATTCATATTAACATTTTCTAGAAAATTGACAAGTAAATGCGAAATTTTGGAATTCGAAGTTATCTTCGCAGAATGTCCTGTTTCATGAATCAAATGATATAATTTGTATTTTGAAAACTGGAACTTTATTATATATTTATTTTTATATTAAAACAAACAGTACTGTAATTATGACGAAAATGTTCGGTGACGTCATCGGTTGTCATAACTTTCGATTCTTGATACAAAGCAGTAGGTGAAAAAATTGGATTTTGAAAATGTAAAAAGAAATTACGGCTTATCTTCCCCTTCTCCAAACTTCAAAAACTGAAATTTAAAAAAAAGCAATTGCTATTACTGCAACAATATATACGTATTTATGAGATTTGAAGATTAAGCGAGGCATAAAATAATTCAATTCAGCTTTCGAAATCTTTACAACTTAAATCGTCTTTTTTTAGCCAAGATATGGCTTACAATTCGCTAGTATGTTGGCCTACTCTGTAACTCTTCAGTATTTATGTTGAAACGACCTAATTTCATTTTTGATGGTGACTATTCTTGGAGATAATGCCTAAATAAGTTATGTTAGAACGCTAAACAATACCCGCCTACAAAATTTAATGGAAATCATTAAAGCTGATGAATTGCTCGATTTAAATAATGAAAAACTCAGTGGCAACCCTATTCTCAAATATCTCTAAATTAATTCAATTTCAACTAAGAATCATTTGGTGACCTTTTTACTTTACAATATTGGACTTGAAACAAATTACATTTAGGTGGCAACCTTGTGCGACTATTCTCAAAGATAACACTTAACTAGGTTACTTTAAAATGCTGAACAGTATTATTAAGTTAGTAAAAACATATACTTATTCATTACGAAAAAAATCCTTTATGTTATGTTTGACGGAGCGTATGAGCAACCACAATGATGTACATACTGCAGCTGAAGATTGGTTCAAGCGAGTACCCAGCGAGCTCCGTGCTGCGCACATTGATGGATACCCCAGTATATTGAGCTCTAATATATCTATATAAGTATATTTTTATATAACAGAAATCTAGCGAAAAATTATTAAATTCATTAAAGAAAAGTTCAACAATACAATTTTTATTTTCTAGACACTTTTTTGACGGGGCGTATGAGTAACCAAAGTAATGTGTAGTATATACATAAATACTCTCGTATATAAAATAATAATCAAGAATACATTCCGCTGAGCTTAAAGTTGATTTTTTTTTGGTATTTCATCGACTAGCAGTGAAGGGTTATCCATAGTTAAGTTAAGCCCTCTTCAAAAAAATACATTCACATATTGTCTTCAAAAACACCCTTATCAACTTGAATAACAAAAGTTTTGCAGTAAAAACTAATATTTACTATTGATATTGTAACATTCAGCTAACATATTCATTCAGCAGAGTGTCTGTATGCTTGCGCAATTGTGCCACTTGCTTACTTATCTGCCCTTTCGCTGGATTATTTTTATTGATTGGCTCTCATGAAAACATTTCCATCGATATGTTTATGTTAAGTGCGTGGTTATGTTTTCGAAAACAAACGTATATTTGTGTGTATGCAGATAAGTCATAAAATAATACAACTGGCGCTTTATAACCGCCGAAACGATTTTCGGCCGTGCTCCTCCTCCAATTTGTGGTATGCGTCTTGATGTTTTCCCTGCAAATGGTGGAACCAACAGTTTATACTAAGTCGCCTCCGAACGGCTGATGGTTTTTTATAAGGAGCTTCTATTTCATATCAAAAATACACTCGTAGAGCTTGGCATCGTATCCCAAGTAGAGAAATTAACTTTCTATAATATGGGATGGGTATCGAACGAGGATCCGAACCCTGGACTTCACAATGGCAGTACACAGTACAAACCGGTCGGTCATTGCGACTGTAGAAAAGTTGAAATTTTTCAATATATGTATACTTATTATAAGTTAGCTAGAGGAAGTGAAAATGATAAATCTGATGCTAAAGACAGACCTTGAACGCCTTCAACAACTGTTTTCCATTAAGAGGAAAGCGTCTTTCTAATCTGGCATCCTTCTTTGTACATGAGCTGCTCTATGATAACTTGAGGTCTAGTTACTATAGTAAACGAAACTTCTACTTAGCCAAACTCAACACCGATATGCCGACCACATGTCCAATATACATTCAGTACCCTCCCGACAACTCCCTTTGATCCGCGCCCATATAATGACTTCGTATGCTGAGTCACTCGTTGCTTATGGAATAAAATCAACAACAACAACGACATCCGAAAAGTCGGCAGTGGAAGTTTTCGAAAAAACCGGAAGCGCGCAGATCGGACCATAATAGAATAGTATGAAAATTATGGAAATCAGTCTGCTACTACATTTACTTTTTCTGATTTGAGACCGAAAATTGGTAAGGAAGCATCTAAGAGTTTATATTTTGTATCCCACATACACAGTCACATTACATTATCCCAGAGGAATGTAAGATGAAGATGTGCCCTAGAAACCTATGCAGCTCGACACAGGAGAAAGAGCCAAAAGAAGAGGACGTGCAAACAGCGCAGAAGAAGTGCTTAGAACCAACAGAAGCAGTATCAGAAGACGTAATACCTTCAGTTAAAGAACTTGAAGACTCGGTAGAGGTTTTAAATCAGATGAGAACGCAAGAAAACAACAAAGAGCTGATTCTGTTCTACTTATAGGAGCACGTAGATAAATCCAAATGACGCCGAACATAAAGATAACACAGATTAATCTTAACCAGTTGATGCCACGGAGGCAATTATGTGTAAGTTTCCATTGGATGAGCTAGCGAGTACTCTGACGCAGAAGCCATAGACCTACAAAGGTTAGGTGAGTGGAGTAAACGACAAATCAGTTAATCCCATATGGGACCTCGCAAGTGAAAGCCCAAGAGTGTGTATAGTATTAAATAAAAAAAATTTATTATACGGGTATGTATTTGTATTAGCGGCTGCGGTAACCGGGTCGTTAGTATTGCGCACTGTCATTCAGAAATCCTAGCAGAAAAGTTAGAGAAAATTATGTAAAAATTTTAGAGAAATTACTAATAAAGCGAAGCCCGCCCAATCCTAAAAGGCAATAAGTACCTTACATGATATAAAGATGATTCTTGTTTTTATTGTACTATGTGAACAACAATCTAAACTTTAATCTATTATTACCTTAATTGTACCATTATTAGTGTCCGGCGCCAGGATTTAGTCACGCAAACTTAAGGATTCTTCTTTGACCATAAATAATAGACGGCTTTTGTGTAGCAAACACGCACATAAATATTTATTTCCTCATAGTTAGCATGCTTCATAGTAAGCATGTAACCTCACATACACATATATACATATATCCGGCGTTATTTTAAAACATACATTTTAATAAAACCACTTCCGGATTTTTAATTGCACGATTATGTTTCTTTTTTATTATATTTTATTTTTATTTCCTTTTTTTATTTTTATTCTTTTTTATTATTTTTCATTATTATTATTTTTGCCTGGAAAACAGCACTTTAATACCCAAAGAACTTTAATACATTTACTCATATACAGATATGTATGTATGCAACTATGTACTTCGAGTATTTTTTCACTATGAAAAACAAACTATTTTTAATTATGTAGATAATATTTTCTTCTTTCCTTAGCACGCGTATTTACATAAAATCGTACATAAACAATTATTAATTGAAGTAATTATATGTAAGTATGTATAAAACCATTCATATTTTACCAACAACGCTAATTCAATATGATTTTATGTCTATCTTATTACACATCCTTCTTTATAATTTTCACAACCGTGCAATCTATGTACATACTCCTACGAGTACATGCATACATGTCTTCCTAAGTGCTTGTGTGTGTCTATAACACCGTCATATTTAACGACCGATTGCAGTACACTGCACTCCACAAGTTGTGCCGGTTATTTTCACTACGCCATGTATAAGCCTGGGTAAATATATATGTAAATATATGTACTTCTGTACCCGCATACATACATACATATGTACATCGTAAATACACCTTGTCAGATATTTATCGAAACGCATACATACTTAAATATTTAAATATAAACACCGTTCATCTACCACACGCGTCGAATGTTTACAACGGAATGATTTGGTCGGCGTTGAAACAGCTAACAACTAACAGCCTCGAATACTCGGCTTAACATGTTAACCGAAGATTTGATATAAACAGAACTCTCTCGGCATTCACGGGGAGTTGCCATATGGAGTACATTGCACTTTGGATACAAATTTGTTTAAGCTCCTTCAAATAATGTTGATGCTTTCGGTCTTCACTATATGGAATGATGAAATATATATATAATATATATATTAAAAGATTGCAGCCTAAGACATGAAACTCAAATACTCGAATATGGCGAACCCGAATCCGCAATCGATGATGAAAGAAAAGACGTTCAAACCTGACTTTAATTAGTTGAATTATTTTCCACTTCAATCACAACAAAGCAATGTGAGTCGATGTTTAAACGACTCAAAGATGCTCGCATATTTTATTCGTACGAAAGTGGCATAGTATCTGGTAAATCCACCAATTAGAAAAGGATCGAGACACACCACTTTTAATCGATTTTAATGGATTTTAATTCTAAAGGCCAGATGATTGATACAATCTGATTCTTTATCGTATCACTCACATTCACAGAGAAGATACAATCTTCTATAAGAACGTATAACTTCCGGCATATTGATATCATCGCCGCAGTTGGCTCCGCTTTGTCCAGGCAAATAAACGAAGGGAATCGCATCATATCATATCTTCGTAAATAATTTCGCCTATCTAGGAACCAGCATCAATCAACGTTATTAATAATGTCAACCTCAAAATCCAATGCCGGATCACACTTCCATAACTCGCTAATTGTTCCTAATTGTAATATGGTGCAGAAACCTGGACATTGGCCAAACTGGATTAATCCACGCTAGAAATGTTCGAGAGAAAGATTTTGTGAACGATTTATGGTCCTTTGCACATTGGCAAGCAGCGACTACAGTTAAATAAAACGCCTTGGGTTCTAGAGAACTATACGCAGTGCACGCCTTTCACCTGTCAGTGGAAGAGGAAGACCTGTACACCGTTGACGATACTTCAGAGGTGGTTTGTGAATGACTAAGGAGAGATCAAAAATATGAAATTGCGATTGGAATTTTATAATTATTAAGAACTTAGAAATATTAATCCTCATAAAGGCTAACAAATATGGTCGAAGTTATTGAAAGTTATCAACTTCTAGGAAACCACTGAACGAATGGAACCTGGTTTTAAATAGTCCTGCGAATTAGGGGCTCAAGAATGTGCCCGCGGTAAGGTATACGTGCCGTAAGAGGCAACAAAAATCCCATAGTTCCAGCGACAGTCGAGTCTTTATACCGTAACTACCCGGATTTTTATCCGGCCAAGGATTGTCACACCAATTCTGGGAATATTTTGCGGTTACAACAACAACTACTATAGTTTGAATATAATATTATACATATGTATAGTTAATGTCGAGGTAAGAAAATGCACTTCGGTATTAAAATTTACCATTCAGTAAATTTTGCTACTATTTCGTATTCTGAATTCACTGTCACCCTGTAAATTTTGTTACTAACGGAGTGGGAGGTAACAAAAAAATCTGCTGTTTGATTTTATGTTGTTAGTTTGAGAAAAAATAAATACCAAAGTGGGTAGGGATATTTTAGGCCTGGAATTCATTGAAGATAAAGAGAAATGTGCTAAATAGCCTTTTAATTTGGGAGATAGCGTTTTCATTCAGCTATTTTCCAAAATTAGATTCAAATATTTATTTATGATTTCCATTTCTATATGAATATTCTTTTTTTTACTTTACCAACTGGCAAATGTAATTTGACAAGGACGAAAGAAGCATTGCTGCCCAAGTTTTTTCAAACATTGTAACCAGTTCGCCAGAATACCAAATTCAATTTCAGGTGTTAAAAAAAACAGTAACAAAATTTACTTTACCGGTAACAGTGAGAATCGAATTCTCATTTTAGGTTAGATTTCTAAAATTATCACGGCAGTCAATGTGTTAATTGAACTACCACGAAAATTCTTCAAAATACTGACAGCGCGCTTGCGCCAAATTCAATGCTCTCATTTCTCAGCGCTCTCTCTATTTCTCTCTCTGTTTTCTACTACAAATTATTGTTGGTAGAACAAAAGTATTCATTGTACGTATGTAAATAAACAAACCCCTCAGCTGAAGAGATTTCATTGATTGAACTTTGCTACGCATACAGAATGAAGACTAGGGGAGCTGCACAAGAAGAACCAACTCTCAATTGTACATACATACATATATATGTATGTATGTGTTTTGAAATAAAAACTACAATTATTCATATTTTTCCAGAAGTTATTGTTTGTAATTTATTTATGATAGTAAAAAAAAAGTACAAAACAAACGCATAAACTTATATTTACGAGGTTGGCATTTAAAAAAAAAAGAGCATAACTAAAGTATTAGAATAAATATATTGAGTTTGATATTCAACTTAAGGCAACAATTTTATGAAAAAGCAGCACATTCTATTGTTATTTGTATACATATTTATGTATATGTACGCATATAAGGGTTTGATGGCTTGCGAAAGATGTGCGCCGAGGTGGCTTCTTAAAGTAAAACAAATATATAGAAGAATCTATTTAGCATTAGGGTACAGCCACATTTCAGCATATTTAGAATACAATATATTTTATTTAAATTTGCAGCAGCTTTAACAATCAATTATTTTATGTAGCTTTTACAAAATACATACTAATACAATAGAACTGAGAGCTAATAGCATATATTCGTCAAGCAATAACAGTTTATTAAATTAAACAAAAAAAAATGAACAAAAACTCATTTAATTTTATTTTTCAACATATTTATTTTTATCATTGTTGCTGCTGCAGTAATGGGTGTTAACTTAGGCGCTTAAGTTTACACTCAAAATCTTTAACTAATGAAAATATTAAGAAATTATTGACTTAGCTTTTATTAGAATACAAGCAGGTAGATAGAAATTTGTTTTGAAGATATTTAAAAAGTGCATACTATTACAACTAATATCAGGGTTTTATATCAACAGTTTAATTTCATTTTTGTTTCATTTCATACATTTGTACGTTTGTAAATAGTTTGAATGACGAACATCTTTTGTTTGCGGGGCATTAGCAGTTAATTGCATGTTTATTTATTTCTTTCTTCAGTGTTGTTGTTTTTTTTTTTACAAATGTACAAAATTTACAAAATTTATAGAGTAGTTAACTATTATATATTGTTGCTATTGATATTTATGTATATGTTATGTATATGTTTGTGTCAATGTCGGATTTAATTATGGTCTTTGACGTATGTACGTCAATTAAATTCATTAAATCATATGTTTTCGTACACGTATGTACTTATGTTTAACTATGTAACTTATGTAGTTATTTAGTTTGTTTATATTATAATATAAAGCAGTTCAACTTATTTGCAATAAATGACTGTGGCTTCTATTATCACATTCCTTTTTAGCTAACAATACACATTAAATAATTAAATAATGAACGCTGCAAGTCATATTCCTGTGCAATTGTTTGTTGTTTTGGATATTAACATACTCTCAACTCATCTTTTCTTTCAGTCCAATAATGCATCTCATGCGATTTCTACATTTTACTCTTATGTCATTGTAGCTAAAAGTAATAATCAGTACTTTGCTGAAATCATATCATTCAAGCAAGGATATTCTCATGAACATTTTTATACATTTAGCAATTCATTACAAAAAAAAAAAAGAATATACAAACTAAACTTAACTTATTTTAATCTAAAAGTATAGAAAAATAAAGTTGGGTTATATTGCTGCATACTTTAAATGTTAGTTCAATTTGGAATTATTGTATACAACAAGCACATACAAAGAAAATCAACTACGTATTCCAATAATTTATATAAAAACGCAGCATCTTATAAATAAAAGATGACCACATATTATTGCGTTTGTTTGCCTTTGCGGACGTCATGCATTGCTTGAACTAGCTCCTGCGGCTGATTTTTTAGCATTCATTTTCGCTTTCATTTTTTGCAATAATGCTTCAAAGGAATCCTCCTCTTTGGGTGGTGCTTCGACTTTAGGAAATACAATCGAATGATATGTATTAATGCCAGCATTATCTGTAAAGTATAAAATAGCGCGTTAATGCAAAAGAATTTTTATGGCACATATTTGCAATGGTTTACCTAAATCAGCGTAGGAAGAACGACAGAAAGCTCGTCTACCGCCAAAACTAATGTCGTACATATTAATTGTGGGATCACGTGCACTACTATCGATTACCGTAAAAGCATCCTGTGAACGCTCGTAAGTAACAAAGCCATATTTCATGCTGAAAGATAATAAAAAATAGTAATTATATTTTTTATATATATTTATATATAATAAATAACAAAATGTTTAACATTTTTAGAGTACTGAACTCGAGATTTTACAAAACTATATTTTTTTGTTTTATAACTCCAAAATTTCTTGTAAGCGTTGTGTTTGTTTTTGAATTTTCTTGAACTGCAAATGCAATTTTTTCATTCTTAAATATTCTTTTCAAAATGGTGGTGCAATCTTTTTGTTAATGTCTACGAAATCGCTTACCCTGTATCTTTATAGTGTATAGATATTTGTTTGATGTTGCCATAGGGCAAAAACTTTCTTTTCAGCATCTCTTTGGTAGTTTCCTCCTCTATACGTCCCACGTAAACTATACGACGTTCCTCAACAGCTGTAAAAGGTAAATTTTGTAAATAAAAATTTAAAAAATAATTTTTTTTTAATATAAAAAAGCGTAAACCCACCTGGTTGTGAAATATTATTTTTGTTTACACCTGGCCTTCTAAAGCGGTTATTCGTATGCGAAATGGAACGTGAGCGCGAAGGTGATCTTGAATATGTACGCTTATAATATGGGCTGCAGCTACGACTACGACTGCGACTACGATTTCTGCTACGATCGGAAAAATCACAATCGGAGGATGACGATGAGGAGGCCGACGAATTGCGAGCATATTTTTTCGTGCGTTTCTTGTAGCTAGTCCGCGATTGACGTTGTGCATTGCGCGATAGGCGCCCAGACTCCGAGTATGAAGAACTAATAGAACTGCGATGGCGGCGGCTGCTCCGAGATGAATAACCACCGGCAACATCAGACTGGCGTACGCTGCTGGCGACTTCTGTTGACGAGGCAAAGCTATCAGCTGAACGACTACGCGAACGATTACCTGGTGAACGACTTCGTTTGGTTTGACGACTGCGCTCACACGAAGCCTCGCTATCCGAATCGTCTTTAGCAGATTTGCTACCATTCTGTTTGCGGTAATTTCGCTCTGCATGCGGTTTTATTGGTATTTTAGGTAAAAGTGTAAAACCAGGTTGCAGCTCAGTTTGTATGGCAATGCTAACCGTACGCGGTCGTATTCTATCCTTACGTAAATGCATAATAACCTTATCTTCACCATGTTGTTCAGCGCGTTTTTGTGTTTTGCCAGTAACCGGTTTTGTCACAACATTTGTTAGGATGGATTTGTCGGGTACAATAACTTTTTGCACGACAACATCTTGTATACTGGCTATTAGAGAATTACTCGAATTTATCGTATTAGACATTTTATATAGTAAGGCGGAAGATTTTAAAAGTGAACGTTCACAAGTATTACTTGGTATTATATTAAGCGGTGGTATACTAATATCAGTGTTATTACCAGCCGAAACGATTATAACTTCCTCATAATCTGGATGTAATTTGGTAGATGATTGATTATGCTGGTACTTATCCACATTGTAGGTGTCCTTCACAATATCCTTAAGCGGCGGTAGTCTAGTCACACGTGGCACTTTCGCCGATATTGTGGAATCAATTATTTTCAATTGCTGTGCACGTTTCAATTCTTGCATTCGCAACACCTTATTTTTAGCTTCGGTTATGGGATCAATGGGTTGTTTTTGAATTGCTTGATTTCTTTGATTTCTTAGGTTATTCACAACTGAAGTCACCTCCTGGCTATGCTTTACATGTGCACTCTGCGTTAAGGTTTTATTTATATGCTGAGCTTCTGTTGACTCCTTAACATCCTCTGCTTGAGTAGAGGTATTATTATCACCACGTCTACGCTTATATTCTTCTAAGTTTAATTTACGTTTAACTGCTTGTTTGGCTTGGTTCACAATTTCATCCTTTTTCTTCGGTTCTTCCAGTTCTTTTTGTACAACGGCTTTTTCCAGCATGATGGGCTGTAGCTTCTTTGGTGTTCCATCATCTGTTTCCGAATTTTGACCGTTTTGAGTCTTTGTATCTTTTGTTGAAATACTTTGCGATATCAGGGCCAAATTTTTACCTCCCTGTCCTACACCTACTCTGCATGTTAATGCACCTGGCTTCAGTGCATTTCCGGCTGTGGTCTCGGGACTTTTCTTTGTTGTGACTTTTCCTTGTGTTTGTTTCGAAGATAATTTTATTTTATTCGTACTCGATTTGCCCTTCAGAATGTCACATTGGCGTTTGTTTGGAATAATTGTGAAATTCCGTGTGTTCTGCGTATTTGTAATATTGTGGCTTGTTGTCGGTTGTGCTGTAGATGGACGTGTTTTTGTCTGAAAATAGTTCAACCTCCGTTAATAAACATGCAAGGGCATTTCGTATTGACTTCCTACATAATTATGCTAATTAATTAAACATTTTAGGCAAACACATTATAAGTTCCCCCAAATGAATAAAGTACTAATAAAAATAAAAAAAATTATACCTCTTTTAATGCAGGGTCCTGCTTCTTTGCCGGTTTCGGACTCCAGGAGGGATCTTTCTTCACATTATCTTCATACGCAACATCGTTAACAACGTTGTCATTAGATCTTTCGGCTGTTGCGGATGCCATTTTCCACAAAGATTTATCCATATCTGCATCTACTGTCTCAATATCAACTATAACATCTGAATCGGCATCAGAATCCGAGTCGATATTACTTGTTTTAGGTATTGTTATTGATTTTGCGACTGCAACTGTCTCGGGTTTTTCTATACCAGTAGTTTGTATATCCTCTTTAGGAACGTTAAGTGTTAAATCGTCATTAGTTATAAATTCCGCTAAATCGAAATTATTTACGTCTACATCTAATCCAATGGTGTTTGTACTTAATGTACGATTTTTACTATTCGTCGCCGCAATATCATCTAAATGCAACTGAAAACTTGCATTTAAATCGATACCATCAGCACTTAACAAACCTGATGTTAAATCGGGTAATTCATCAGCGTCCAACAACAGTTCATCTGTCCTTGCTTCCAAATTCATATTAACAAACTGATTATTACCGACATTATCCACAATTTCTTCCTCATCAGAACTATCATCGTAGTCACTTGTATGTGACTCATAATCACCAATAGATGAACTGTCAGTGCGCGTACGAAATGTGGCATCGCTATATTGGCTTTCATTATCATCAAAATCGACATAGTTCATGCCATTAATTTCATGATCGTCTGCAACACCATTACTATCGCCCTCATTCATATCATCGGTATCTTCACCATCATCATCATCATCATCATCATCTGAATCAGAGTCCAATGAATTGGGATCTATAGTTATGATTTCGATACCTCCATCTGTAGGCGTTTGATGTTCAACGTATTCATCATAAAACAGCTGAAATTTTGCACACAACATTTTTATACAAAATAACTTTATAACCCAAGATTTGGTTTTGTTGTTTGTGCACCTACCACTTCTTTACTTTGCAAATTCGTTGCAGCATCTATTTTATTTGCTATCCGAAAATTGTCTTCTGTAGCAAGCATGGCATTACTATAAATGTCGGTATCGTGCTCTGCATCTGGAGCTATGGGTAAAATACCATTTAATGTCTCTGTAAGTTGGCCCATTGTGCTAGAAAAAAAGTTAATTTAATAAAAATTTGCATAAGTTTTTTAATTTTACCACACTCACTTGCTTTCACTGGACCAATAGTCTGTATTGAGCTGTGTGTAACTGCCGTCGAACGGATCATCGTGAAATACGTTCAAAAGCCGTGAATCCATTTTGGCGCAAACTTTACATCCACTAGATAAAAAAGCAGAAAGTTATGAGAATTAAAAATTTATTTCAGAAAAGCTACCGAAAGAATCAACTTGGCGAAATCAATTCAAATTAATTACTGTGATGATTGAGTAAATTTGTTTTAATAGTTGTTAAGTAAGTAAGTTGTAATTTGCACATGTTTACATACATTTGAACCACGTGTTTTTGTTTAATGGTAGGTAAATCATAATCCTACAAGAAACCTTTTCTCAAACCTAAAGAGAGAAACCCCCATTAGAATATGAATCAAAAATTTATCGGGCACAGAGTTATGTATATATTTAATGAGAACATAAAAATTTATACATACATATGTATATAAATATATTCTGAAAACACTCCATTACTTCCGAATTCTTGAAATCAAACAGTCAATAACACTAAGAAGTGGCAACAAAACAGGTAACATGAAAAAAAGTAAACTCGGTGGATGCGTATGTTCATATGTATACTAACTTTTAGGAGCATTATTACATTCAGTAATTCAATATTGTTATTATGAACAGATATACTCTTCTTAGATACATAAGTGTGTACGTATATACGTATATACTAGAAATTGTGATAATCGTCATCATAGTTAGTTTTAAATCGACTGATTTGATAGCATTGTACCGGTGAATGTGTCATACAACCATGTGCTTTTGGCAGAGGCGTTGAAGCAGCTGTTCTGTTGCTTTTCCTTCTTTTGGTTTGTTTTGTATAGCTAATAGCATGAGTGCCCATTGGTTTGTAGAGGTAAGTAATTATGTGGATGTGTGTGCATTCTTTAAATATTTTAAATTTAATTTGTTCATTTAACCAAAATTGCGAATACTAATTAAAATTTGAAGTATTTTTTTTGCATATAATGTAAATAAAATTAAATTCTTTTACTTTGCCAATATTTGATTACTGAATACGCCAAAAACCATTGCAACTCAGGAAGGTGTAACTGTTGACACGTTGCAATATCGTTTGCGTTCAAGTTGAAACTTCTTTCCCATTATTTTCAATTAAGTTGAGTTGAAGGAAAAGTATCTTAGATAAGCAATGTCAGATTAAAATTATATCTTAAATGCTATAAAAAATAATTTTAAAAATTTGATACAAACATTTATCAACAGTTAATTTCAAAAATTTTACTCTTTCCGATTTCTTTCATCTGCTTTAGATTGATTACCAATGCAATGCCGTTACCCATACTTAACTCCCACACTACAAACATTTACAGCATTCCAAGCGTTGCAAATTTAGCATTAAAAAAAAACTATGCTTAATTTACTGATTAAACTTACCTTAGTCTGAGCTCTGTTTGTGTTCTACTTTATTCTTAAACTCTCTCGGTTAGTATTATCTTTATTTGTGTAATTTTTAATAACTGAAATTCAAAATATATATTTCACGCGCTGCCAAATCGACAACGTGCTCGCTTGTGTTTTTGCTTTTGTGCTAATCTTCCGCGCCCGCTTTTACGATTTTAACCTCACAATGCATTTACATAGCGGCAATAATAACAATTTTTAGTATTAAATTCACTAATTTCTTGTTAACAAATCACATATTTATGTATTATATATCTATTTTAATGGATTTCAGCAATTTGCACCAATTGGCTTATACACACGGCTACTAAACGGAAAATTCTTCACGTGGCCGCCCGACAGCAACGGTGGTTAATTCACTTGTATTTGTATGCCTCAAGAAAGGCGTTTTTGACAGTTTGCTTTTTTTTGCATTTCGCTCAAAGTTGGCGCTGTGTATGAAGACACGAATGCGCGAGAGAGATAAACATGCACGTGTATACACGGATCTCTGTATAAAGTAGTGTGCGTGAAGAAAGCGCCAAAACTACCTTAGTGTGTGTGTGGGAGAGCGAAATTGCACAAAATAACGAAATGTCAAAAATTTTGGAGGTAAGCACGTGGAAGCTGGTTGCAGAGAACGTAAGTTCTCTGAGCCTTCTCGTTTAATTTACGTTCTCTGTTTTTGCTACCAAAACATCAACAAACCCTGAGCTGTGTTTCATAGCTCATAATAAGAGCTCGTTCAGAAAAGTTCTTCACCGACACGACTATGGATTCTTTGTAATAAATGCAATCGAGACCAATTTCGACCAACATTTGCTCTTTCCAAGTTTTCTCATTTGACATTGCATTTTATGAATCTAAGAAGAATTAAGTGAATTAAGAATTAGATGTTAATATCAGGCCGGGATCACGGGTCATAACTGTGAAGAATACGCTACCGTGTTGTAATTTATAATTTTATCTGCTAAGTACAATACCACCGTCAATAACTAATTGGAACTAATCCGGATGTCTTTAGATCTAGTAAATCAACCATTGACCAGATATTCACCATGCACCAAATCTTGGAAACCCGATATGTCTGAATTTGGTATCCCCGCAAAACTTATACGGCTATAGAAACTGACCTAAAACAACACTAAAATCATGTCAGGATCGAGAAGGATCTCTTCGAGCACTTCGATACCAAACGAGGCTTCAACAACCGCGCCTTGATTTCTGCTCTTTACCAGACTGGATAATGAAGCGAAGGGTATGGGTCTGGTAGTAAACGAGGGCAAGAAGAAATACATCCTGTCATCAAACAAACAGTCATCGCATTAGCGACTCGAACCCACGTCACTGTTGACAGTCATAACAGCAATGTCAGCCTGTAAATCCAATTTTGCCAACATGTGCTACTTTGGACTGAGAAGGCAATAGAAAAGTAAAGTCATTCTCGACGAACGAAAACTAAACTCTACAAGTTCCCGTTAAGCGCATGAGGAGGATCTTTAAGTTCAAATTGTGAGGATATGCAAAGAAAAAACAGATAGGCGAAAATACAGTGAACATTTCTTGGATCCATTTTGATACAAATGTAAAACGGCAATGAAGGGCTGACGTCACTTACCCGGCTTTCAAGCGAGAAACGTCATAATTTCCATCACGCCACTATTGAAAGGAAACTAACGAGCTTTTCCAATCGAATGAAATACAAAACTAAAATTAAAAACAGAATTTGTGTTAACAAACTTTTGCTGGTTCATCCATGGTATATTGCCGCGGTATCCTAGAGGATTCAAATCTTGCTGTCGTACTAACATCCAAATGTCTTAGAAAATTAATTTAAATATAAAATGGAGCTAAGTTTTCTAATTGCGGCCGCCCCTCGGCAGAGAATGTCAATCCCTCCGAACGTATTTGACATGGAAAAAACCATTAGCCGTGCGGAGGAGGCTTAGTATAAACTGTAGGTCCCTCCAACTGTTGGAAAAGCATCAAGCGGTTACATAGCCCTAATTATATACTTAATTAATCTTTGGAAGTAATCCAGCTTCCCACGAAATTCTCTTAATTAAACAATTTGAAAAGCAATGTGCTTTTTATATGATAGTTTTTAATTGAAAAATATAATTTCTAACTATATGGGCGACCATTAAAGGATTATTGTACAGCGTTGCTCGTACTACTAAAATTCAGTTTCATATATATATTCTCACAATGTATAAATGACTGAGATTCAAATTAATTCTTACATTAATTATTTGGCGTTTAATTGGACGTGATAAATTTTGTATTTTATTAAATAAGAACGACCATCAAAATCAAGCACAGTTTACACTCACCTTAAAGAAACTTACTATCCCACCCTATTATTTCCTCAAGTGCATACACACAATTTTGTTTCCGAACAGCTGTTCAATATGCACCTTTATTGATTGTTATTATTGCTATTTACAGCAATCGGTTTTCAGACAGAAGATTGGTTAAAAGTTATTGAAAGAAAGTCTGTGTCATTGGCGTTTGACCAAAGTTTATACTTAAATTGAACCTTATGTGAGCATTTAATAAGCATTTAATAATGCAGCGGCTAGCATTGAGTAAGAAAATTTCTATATAAAAAAGAAAAATAATAGTTGCCGGTGTTAAAATGTGTTAAGTTTAAGCAATAACATTCTATTTAACTATGTGATGAAAACAAAGCAAAATAATGCTTATAAGTAAACATGTAAATAAACATGTTGAGACATGTTAGTTGTGAAATTGCCAAAGCAGAGTACAACAAAATCAAATTAACCTAAACATCTACCCGCGTGTATCTAAATATGTACATACTTATATGTATTTGTAGTATGGTAACATCTTAAGCCGGGTTAAGATATTCTGATTCGTTTTCTAGCAATGCACGTTTTAATTCAACGCAAATTTATTTTTAAAAATACCTTGTGTTTTAAATTTTTTTTAATATACAAAATAATAATTAACAACAAAAAAACAAAGCTTTCAGTAATGATTTGTTCTTTTTAAAATTGGGGCAACTTTTTGTTGAGTTAAAAATTTTATAAAATTGCAACAGATTTTACACAAAATACTTTGTGACCCAATTAAAATTTTTGGACTTGATGCTTGTAAATACATATATATACATATGTTATGTGCAAACTCCTTATTTGTTATTTAGTACATTCCCGTACTTCTCTGGCAGCTAGGGAACTATGAACGGGTTCGCATCCTGGTGAAACTGGATTTTCATATTAACATTCAATGACACTCTTTAGAACTTGCATTCATAGATTTTTTACTGCCTGTTATCCTTCATTATATTTTGGTCCTTAATTGCTATAATTATAATATATATTTAAACCACTCAAAAAAACAAGATCAAAAAGCTGTTTTCAGTGAGCTGATACAAACTCAATTTTTAATAAAAATAAAAACTAATAATGGTGGTTAACAAATTGGAATTATTTTTATTTGTCAAAATAGATTTAAGGACTTGCTTTTCATTTTTCATTTGGCTATTAATATTTGGCAGCTCTACTTACACGGATATACACGATCATATCTACGCTTTATGCATTTGTATGTGTTCCCAATTATGTATTTGGTAGATTGTTTTTGGCGCGATTTTAAGAGTATTATTTCTGAAGTGCGCGAATATAGTAGACATCGCAAAGTAGTTTAGTAACAATCGTTCTAGATAATTTATTTACTTAATCATCATAAGACATTTTTGCATCAAGGCTTAATTGCGCTAAATTCTTAAATCAAGTTGTCTAGATTATAATACATTTTTTGCAGAACGAATATTCGGTACTATGGCGTCGCTTAAGCCAGTTAGTACATCATTACCTAAATATGGCGTTGGTAGTCAGCCTTTCACAGTTTTCATTGAAGGAAATATTGGTAGCGGAAAGACTACTTTTATTGAGCATTTTAAAAAGTTCGAGGATAAAGTATGCGCCATTGCAGAACCGGTAGACAAATGGCGAAATTTCAAAGGGCATAATTTATTGGTTAGTAAATTTTCAATGAAAATAATTAGCGCAAGCAAATTTCATTCTTTGTTCCCTATAGGAATTGATGTATATTGATCCGGACCGTTGGGCTATGCCCTTCCAGTCGTATGTGATGCTGACAATGTTGGAGCGACATACGCAAATCACAGACAAACCAATTAAGATTTTGGAGCGTTCTTTGTACAGTGCCAAGTAAGTGGATATAAAATTACCATGTTTATTATTATTTTTTTACTTTTCGATTGCATTTCTTAACAATTGTAGGTACTGCTTCGTAGAGAATTTGCATAAAAGCGGTCTTATACATGATGGCATGTATGAAATTTTGAAACAATGGTATAATTATGTAGAGGACATTACGCACGTTCAAGCGGATTTAATTGGTAAAATTTATTTTAATTGATATCTGCTTAAACATATCCAATGTGTGTATCTGATTATTTTTAGTATATTTGCGTACAACACCAGAAGTAGTGTATGAACGAATACGGAAAAGAGCACGGTCTGAGGAGGCATGTGTACCTCTGGAGTATATAAAACAACTACACGAGCTTCATGAGGATTGGTTGATTCGAAATCGAGTAGGCCACAATATAAAGGTAAAGAATAAAATTTAAATAAACCAGATTTACTGAGATTTTAACTTTTTCCTCACTTTGTTATAGGTATTGGAAATCGAGGCAGATTTAGATCTATCTGAAATTGATAGGGAATACAAGCGTTCGGAAAGTGTAATTACGGCTACAATGCAACAACAGACACAAAGACCAGCAGTGACAGCTTCTCCTAGCAAACGATCGGACTATTTAGGCTAATGTAAAGTGCACTTTTTTAAAATTAGCTTCATTTCCTAATATAAAATTAACCGGACATACATCATTTGTAATTTTAAGCATCACTAAATATAACCTCGAAATAAGCTATGGACTATACTTTAACTCGTATTGTAGAAATAACTATTTTTAAGAAGATCCATAAGAATGACGTGCATTTTATGTTAAAATATATATTGTACTAGTTAATTTGTATCATTTAGATTTATTAGCAATTGAAATATGTCGTGCATGTTATGATAAAATATCTATTTTAAGAGTAATGCTGTATTTTTTAAGACTTTAGAGTGCAATTGAAATATTTCGTTACTAAAGCTAAAGCTAAATAAATACAGTAAACTCGCTTACTCCGGGAAAATTACATTAATTTTGTAAATTGCTTTAATAGTAAAAAAAAAAACTAAAAATTAAAGTTTTAATTTATCTTATTTATTTGCAAATGCAAGTAATAATAAAATTACAATGTTCTAAAACTATGTAGCGACTAAATTTTATCGTTGCTACTGTTATTTATTTGGAGGAGGACCGTTCATCATAGGCGGACGTACTCCTAAAGCTCCTAATGGGGGTGGTGGTCCCATCATTGGGCCCATAGGTCCCATTATCGGTGGCGGTCGCATGCCCAACATTGGTGGCGGCATTCCTCCATGGGGACCCATCATCATAGGTGGCATTCCTGGTGCGCCCGGCATTAGACCAGGACGAGGTGGTGGCGCCATATTCGGTGGCGGAATAGCTACTCCAGGATTTTGTGTAATCTTACCAGCTTTGAAAGCCGCAGTTGTGGCATCAATCAAATGTTGCGCCTGCTCTTCCATCCATTTCTGATAATAGAATTTTACGTTGTCTCTATGCTTTCGCCCGGTACAGTGTGTTTTCCTTACAGAGGGCGAGTCGTGTGTCAAATAGGTGTCACAATAGTCACAGTAGTATTTTGGCATTTTTACTTATTTCACCAATATTTAATTAATTTTATGTTGATAATGGACACAATTTTATTGAGATGTTTAGAAAATAACAAAATGTTTTGGTTAAAATCACAAAGTTGTAAGAAAATGAGAACGAAAAGGAAAAGTAGAGTTGCATTCTAGACTGAATGTTAGCTAGCTTGGCTGCGATTACGATGAGGTGGTTCCAGTCAAATGCAATTTAAAACAATATTAGTCTTACAAAAATTTTAAAAATACAACATACCAAGAACAAAAAATCGAATAGATTATTTAAATTTCGTTAAAACAACACAACATAGAAACTTCCTAATACGAATAATTACTGAAAAATATATTTTAATACTATATAACATATGTATGCAGTTCTTTAATTTTTAAAAATGTTTGGGAATACGTATCTGATGTTGGTGGTTAATTTGGATTAAAAATAAAATGCATAACACCAGCATTAAATACGGAAATTATGCTACGGCGTGATAAAGTTTTGGCTAATATCATTCTCACTGTAACCGAAAAACTAAATACTTTTACTTTTTTTATTACCCAAAATAGAATTTGCTATTCAAGCGCATACGTTACATTGCTTGGCAAAATTTGGCAGTACTGATTTTTTTCGCCCATGTCAAATTATATTTGCTAGTTTGCAAAGAATATTCGTATCAAAATGGAGGACGGTAATATACGTTCTTTGACCAAAGTAATAATTTTTTTTTTAGGTTCAAAAGAAAACTTTAACCGTTCAGGGACGGGTTCGTATAAGCTCTTGGTCTCTCCATTTGTTAGATAAATATAAAGACGCAGATCAAAAATTGGGGAGGAGCTCGTTCGAAAATCGCTTTTGCTTCAAAATATATCGACATTGATAGGTATATAAATATGTACTTTCCATAAATTCAGTTGTGTTTCGCCCTCTATTTGCCCCCTAAAATCCCAATATTGTTTTAACACTTCGTAACTTGGCATCCCTGTTGTCCAGTGTCCAGTGCAATAGCTAATGTCAAAATTCTGTCATAATTTGTGAAAAATCTATTGGGCTTTTAGTACGTCTGCTCACAGAAGTTTTTTTTCCAATTCTCTAATTAACTAGTAACAAATAGAAAAAAATGAATTCTGCTAAAGTTCTTAACTTGTCCAGGGTAAGTTAAGAGCATACACAAGTTAGAGGAAATTTTAAATTTACGGTTTAAATTTGCGTAATGCATGTGTCCGTTTTCGGCATTACGTAAGTTTAATCCAGTTTATTCTTAATTGAAGAAATACTTTTATAAACAGCAAGTATTTGGTTATTGTTATTTAAATGATATTACCTCTGTTTTAGGTTGTAGTCCGCAGTCTTACTACCACTGCTCCACGCCGTGCCGTCACTAAAGGTGAAGTTGAAAAGGGTTATTTTGAGCTAAAGAAAGTGCAGGAACATTTCCAAAAGCACGATGGCAAGCCAGTGTTTCTTAAGGGCTCATTTGCCGATCAGCTCCTCTACCGTTTAACCGTCGCCTTGAGCTTGGCCGGAATTGGTGGTATGGCGAAGTTGTTCTACGACTTGAGCGTTCCCCAAAGCCAAGAATAAATGCAACAACCGGATGTATAATTAATGTTTTAAATTAAGATGTTAAATTGTAAAAACATATAGCGATTCTGGTAGTATATGTATGTTTCCCTGTTTTTTGTGGTAAGTGTGATGAACTGGAATATACCTACACTTTTTATTTATTTTTATATTTTCAGTTGTCTAAATGGTATGATGGTGTATTATATTTCCTCTTGTGGTAACCATTTCAAATATAAATGTTTTGTGTAAAACGCTAAACATTCACATAAATGCATTTAAAACATGGAAATATACGATATACATTATAAAAAAAAGTTCATTTTACTAAAGTTAGAAATAGAAAAGAAGGACGATAAATACGTAAGCGAATATATTGTTAGGTACTTCTTTATTTATTATCTAAAGAAACGCTTTAAATTATAAAATTATGCCCTCACAGAGTTTTGTTAAATCTAGTAACTTTGCAACTGTGCGTTCTGTGAGTTTTCGATACACATTTGAATTGTAAATTTTTCATTGAGTAGCCAATGATATTCATGTAATTTTTTTAGAAACATTTTAAATTAAATATTGTTTTCGTATTGATTTTCCCTGGAATAACTAACAACAAAAAATGATGTTGAGATTTATTCGAGTAAGACTCATACTTATATTGGCATTCAAAATATTAAATTTTCATTCAAACATGTCATTTATTTTAGCCTACGTTGTGCCGTTGCAGCGGTAGTAGATTACTTGAAATGACCATTAAATTTGCAGGTGGTACGTCAGCCAGTTCACCAGGTAAAGTGACCAGTGGCAGTTCTTGCGGCCCTAGTCCTGGACCGTCGAAGAAACCTAATCCTGGTTTGGAGAAAATCAAGAAAATGCAAAAATTATTTCAAAAAGATGATGGTAAACCCATACACCTAAAGGGCGGTAGCAGAGATTTAATGCTATACCGTGCTACATGGACATTGGCAATAATTGGGCTACTCTGGCAAATTCATATGTTTTCAATGTATATAATTTATTAAACTTTGCATTTCTTTGGCAAACAATAACTTAGATTATATAAATACAAAATATAGAAAAATTAAGAAGCAAACACTTATAATTAGCAAACAAATACGCCGTCCGTCTTCTTAAAAAATATGTTTTTATGCATTGCTCGATATCTTTTCATCGGCGTCTAGTCTATCAATGACTTGTTTCAGGCAGTCTTTTGTAGATACATGCTCTAAATCGCAAATTCGTGTCAAGTCCATTGTAGCGATCTGTTCGATCATTTCTTTGATTCGTTCCTGCTTTATAATAGCTTTAACAGTTTGACGCTGTCCAGTTGCTGGACGTTTATCAATTTTTTCTGCAGAGTTTTCTACTTGACGCCCCTTCGAGCGATAATGCTGTTCGATTAATTGCCGAATCTTTCGTCTTGTAGCTAATGTTTTTCTATTCACTTTACCCAGTGCCAGATTATGGAGTTCTTGGAAATTTATGTCTTTTGATGGCTGATCGGAAATATCATCCATTTGATTGGAGGCATCAATTGGCTCTTGCGCTGTTATATCAGAGTCTTCAGTTGCTTTGCTGCTAAATGTAGGCTGGGCTCGAGTTTGTTGGGCTTCAACCGGTTTTTCAAATTCGTCCTCATCCATTGCTTCCAATGTCCAGTCCTCCACATAACCATCTTCAATTGAGGCTTTTGGATCGAACATATCATTTTGTATGCTCTCCACATTCTTTACTAATTCTAAAGGGTCTTCTAATGCTTTACTTATTGTCTTTTCTTCACTGGGCAAGTCTTTTGGTACTTCATCTTCTACTATTAGCGAGTTGTCGATGGCTCGTTTTTCGATCGACTTTTTCTTGTTTTTCGATTTCTTCTCATCATTCGTTTTCTTTTTGCTTTTAACATCAGTAGGTGGTTTTCGCCTTTTTAAAATGCCAATACATGGCTTTGTCTTAATCCGCACCGGTACTAATGAACTGTATTGTATGCCAATGTTGTTGAAGCAATCTACAAAATCCAGTGTTTCAAATTCCTCTTGCAGATTAGACCAAAGTTGTAGGTTGTTTTTATTTTTTGCTTCCACCAAGAGATGTGTATAATGTTGGGTCATGTCGGGATCATAAGTTACCGATTCATTTTTGCAGTAACTGTATGTGGAAAATATATAAATGTATTAAGTTTGTGCAAATATCATCTTCAACTAAAACTTACTGCCAATCGTCACGAATTTGCAGGAAGCGCGAGACACCACTTTGCGCTGCCAAATTTGCTATATGTACTGACACGTTAACCGCATCTGCCTCCAGACGGTGCAGGCGCGTTAACGCCACACCACCTGGATAGTTGGTGCTCGATACAACCAATAGGAAAACTGTTATTAAAATATTAATTAATAAATGCGCTCCAGCACCAAATGCAAGGATTTGCTGCCATAATGATTTTCCACTATTGATCCAACTAAAATATCAAAATAGATTTCTTATCAAATATTATTCATATCAAAAATCTATATACACTAAAAAAGTCTACTTACAAACGGCTGCAAGCACATGCAGCTGCTAAATTGAGTACAGGAAATACATAGACAATGAAACGCAACTCTTTATGGGGCAAGATCGAGTAGATTAACACAAAAGACAATGCTGCGACCACTAAAGCCCGTATGCGCGGCTCCAAATAAAAACCGATTGGCACCAGTATTATTGAAGCACCTAGAGCGCGTGGAAGTGCTGAATAAAAATACCATAAGAAGGGAGATGTCTATGTATTAAAGTGTTAAAGACGTAAGTTAAGTCACCGTTATATAAGAATTTAAATAGTTTGTCGTATAATATATACATATATATAGAAATTTGTAATTATTTCATTTGAAAAAGGATACGCCCCAATCAGAGCTTTTATTAAGTATTGTGTTATACCACAGCACTTCGCCCTCTGGCCATAAGATACGGCGCCAGAAAAATGAATCCAAAATAATCGTGCTGACCAAAATAGCCAAACCTGCGGGTAATGCTATTTTTAGTACGCTGTAAATGTATGAATATTTGTTTTTAAAAATTAAGTTTTGAGGTGAATTGATGTCGAGTGTGTGTGACTGTTGAACTTACCTTGATATAGAAACCTTTCGAAATATCACATCATATGCTAATAAAAGTCCTAAAAATATCAAAAGTTCAGAACGAAACACTAAAATTGCAATGCCCGATGTGATGATGAATGGTTTTGTTTGTCCTTGTAGCCAAAAAGCTAAAGCATAAAGTACTAAAAAGGAAATATATATGAATATTAAACTGGCGAATTCAAAACTTAAAATGTAACATAATGTAAGGTTAAACTTACCAACGGGTAAAGCCATAATATTTGGCAAAGGTCGACTCATGTAGAATATAAAATGAAATTGTGTCAATGTTATTATGGTAAACCACAAGCGCACTTCCGTGCCGAGTTGTCTTGTTATTACATGACGCAATTTATGCCATGATGTTGTTACAACGGCCGCTAAAATTAAACGCACTAAAAAGGGGAAAAAGGGAAAAGTTGTATACTATAAACTAACTTTGTTTTATTTTGGGTGTAGTAGTTTTATATACTCATTTAATTTACCTACATATTGTGCCCAAAATTTATGCATATTCAGTGTTTCAAAAAGTATGACAAATGGCGAGGACAATATTGAAATAACGAGTGGCCCGATAAAAGTTCGTGGCACCACACCGGGAAAATCATGATGATCATACTGTGAATATGTAAAATATAATTTAAGTAAAATTTATGTTATAATTTCAATAATTTTTAAACGAACCTGTGTAAAATTTTGGCGCAAATAGAGAATATCATGCATTGCTTGAAGATTAAAACTCTCCTCCACTTTAGTGAATGGAGCGTAAAAAAGGTGGGCGGCTGCCGTTAAAAACAATAAAGAATCCATGTCCGCTGCGTATGAATTCCGATGTTAACTTAAAACAAACATACAAATAGCTTAAAAATGCAAAAAATTTGCCAATTACAATCCAAGAGTCTCGACGACGAAGTTGAATGTATTGATCACAGCTACCAAATTACATAATTGCTATTTATCCACAATATAATCGCCGGATATTCCGCTTTGCTAGTTGCATCAAAAGCGTATCTATTATCGTTACGTTGGCGTGGTAATCTGCAACCTCACACCTTTGATTCCAGAAACCACTGTATGACTTTTTTTTATATATTTCTCACAATTTGCTAATTTATCGTTTCCTTGACATTTACACTAATACTTTGGCGATTATCATCAGTATGATATGGTGCTTATTGCCATTTTTCCAATATATGGCACTTTATTATTCTATATTTAGTTTTTGTCAATTCCACGTCGCTGACGATTGTTTGGATGTTTTGCATCATTTTTGTTGTTGTTTCAATTTTGTTGGAACAGCTGTTTGTCTAAGAACATACAGAGTTGCCGCAGCCGAATTTGAAATTAATTTTATCATCATGAAAGTTGATTCACATAAGAGTTGGGTTATCAAGAAATTAAATATTATTCTGTTTGACAAAATTATTAAAAATCATATATAAAAAAATAGACTAATTTTTATGCTTGCCTTGTGACACACACTCGATTTGCTACGCTCCGTAGTCAGCTAAGCATAGCAGGCTGTATGTGAATCAGCCTTAAAGGTTCATTCCGTATAATGGAAACAAATAGGAAACGGAAGAAGTCTGTATGTGATGACAGGATGTGCAAATAAATGCACTCACAGATATGTAGAAAGTATTCGAGACCATCTGTTAATAAGGAAGTGAGGGAACTATAAAATTATATTGAATGGTAATTTATGAATTATTTCATAAAAAAAAATTTTAGATATTAGGGAATTGTATACAATTAAACCATCAGATATGTGAATTTACTATGGCATACTTTTATTAGTGGATTTTGCAAAATATTATTATGAAAACAAATTATAAAAAATTGAAAACCAAAAATCTTAAGAGTTTTTCTTTTTTTTTGCAAACTTTCACATTACAAAAATAACAAATAACATCTCAAACCGGCAGCAGCTGAATTGAGCAACTATTTTGAAAATATTTTTATGCTTTCTTGTGAAAATTTTACCAAGCGATTGACTTCAGCATTTGTTAGGGTGCTTCCCCACTCCTGAGGATATTCTTTTGCTTTGATTTTCTAGCTGCTTTGTTTTTACTATGAATTAACATACACACATATGTATGGAAGTGTGTAGGGCTGTTAATATACATATGTACATACGTTCATTTATTTCCATATATGTATGTACATATTTGCATATACATATGTATATGTACGCACTTGTGGTGCCAAAGTGTTAATGGCGAAGTTGAAGTGTGTTTTATTGCTTAGCGCGCACATTTCATATTTAAATGTTGCGTAACGCTGTAATAGCGAAAATGGCTTTAAAGAAATATGCACGCTTAAAAAATAAAATAACATACAAAAAAAATTCAAGTACATATATATGTATGTACATACATATATAATATCAAAATTCTTGCTCTTGTATATTTACTCAAGAGGTTTAAGTAAATTTATATACATACATACATATCTATGAGAAACGAAAATTCAAAAAATCTGCATTAATAGAAAATTCTTGAAAGTTTTGCATATTTATTTATTATTGTAGGTACTATATGGCTGCAGAAGTACACAGATATATATGTATTTATACATAACGTTGAGCTCTTCCTAAACATTTCTAAAAAATCTATACATACACATATGGATGCACTACATACATACATACATACATACATACATATTTATATTTATATCACTTCGAAATTTGCTCAGATTGTTTGAATTTACCACTTAAAAAAAATAAATTTGGAGATTTTCTAATTTCTCTTGGGATTATCTTCTAAGCAGAAGCTTTAATAATGACTACAGGTATGGAAGTATAGGCCTGAAGGTCCATATGCCTTATGAACTTTCTGATATTGCCTCAGCCAGACAAGCGGAGAATTGATATTCCAGACACTTATGTATGTCGTGTAGGCTGGCCAGTGGCAGTGGCAGTGCTCTCATTCTCTATTCCGTCTCTTACGCAGCTTCGGTAAAAGTCATTCCAAGAGCATTAAATTCCCCTGCCGTGAAATCCCTTTAAACAGTGTCCAGTTAGTATACCAGTTGTTGTATTTATCGTGACCCGGCTTAGGAGGATTAGGTTCCATGATCTGTTAGCATCCAGCACCAGGTGTTTTTTTTGGTGAAAGCCAGTTTTGGTTTGGGGCACGCCTGCAACGTGCGTAGAATTCAATGTAGTTTGAGTGGTAACTGCTCTCTCTCTGCTCATTCGCCAGACAGTTGTCTGAGATACAATAACCTTATGTCCGAGTGCCCAGACCACGACTGTGTTGCATCTAACCGAGAGCTTATTTAAAGTACTTACGAATTGAAAACGCAACTTTTCATGTGCGATAATTGCATTGAAAGCGCGGCCGCGGTGGCGGAGTGTTTAGCATTGCGTATTGACATTCTGAAGGCTCGGGCTCAAATTCCGGTGTCACCAACACCCAAAAGTTATGGAAAATTAATTTAAATATAAAATTAAGTTGCATTTTCTAATTGAGGTCGCCCATCGGCAAGGAATGGCAACACCTCCGAGTGTATTTCTGACATGAAGTAAAGGCTATTCATAAAAAACCGTCAGCCATTCGGTCGCGGCTTAGTCTAAATTGTAGGTTCCTCCATCTGTTGGAAAAAACAACAAGACACAATAATCACAAATTGGAGGAGGAGCTCGACCGAAATTCGCATCAGCGGCTAAAAAGCGCCAATTATATATATATGTATATATATATATATAATTACGTTGAAGAGATCTGGCTCACCTCCCTAGCCTACTCTTTAATTAAATTAGAACTACCCTTGGATATGGGTCGAAGTCACAGCATTTGTCCTGTACGGGATTCCTGTGGAGAAGAGATGATCGGAATAGTAAGTGGAGATGACGTAATCCAACCATAAACTGCTCTCAGCGTCTTCATATATGTACTTATATGGTGTATGTATGTGAATATTTTCTATGTTCGGCTTCCAATAGAATTTCCCATCAAAGTTGAGCCCTCGATAGCAGTCGAACTCCTCACATTTAGGAAAGCTGCAAAACAGTCATTCGTCATCTCCTTGTGAATAAAACAAGTGGTATCTAATTTAGGTTAATGACGATTCCGCTTTTTGTCATCCTGTTAGATACCTTGTTCAGACACTCTTGGGTCAGATCATTTGGATTACTCAGGAACTTTCCTCTAACAAGGAGTGTTACTTCGCCTATTATTCTTTTTGAGTGAGTCCGCCCGTAGCTCGGCTCCATACAGTAAGATGTTAAAGATTGCCGCCTGCCGCATGATAAGCTTCCTTTTCTCTTGAGTTAGTCATAAGTTTACTAAGCTGCAAAGTGACTTCGGAGGCTTGCTGGATTTGTGCCCAGGGGCACAGTCTAGGGTCTAGTTCTACATCCAGATAGTTAACAACTCTTTTTGACTTCAGCGATTGTGTGCATGTCTATTTCCAGAGATAAGTTTTTCATCGTTAATAGCAGCAGCTTGGTTTTTTCAGTTTCGAGTTTGACACCGCGTTGGTCAAGCCACATTTTTGTTCCCTTAATTACTTGATTTAACTTCCTGCGTGCATCTTCCGTATTGCGCGCGGTGATTATAGCGGCAATGTCATCAGCATATCCCACAAGATATGTGTTATCAGGCATCTCAAGGACAAATATGCCATTGTAACAGACCTTCCAGAGATATGGCCCGAGGATAGAGCACTAGCTGCTCCTACCGTCACCTTGTGCTTTCGCTGCCCGTCGGTAGTTTGGTAGAGTTAGACCCTGTCTCTGAGTTAGCTCCTCATCATTAGGCTAAGATACCGGGGAATGGAGAATTCATTCTTTGAGGCTTCGATCATATCCTTTCACTGTACACTGTTGAAGGCATTTCGAATGTCTAATGTGGCTAGTAGGACTATTCGCTTGTGACACCTGGCTTGTCGGCTATTTCGTTACCGGAAATATTCCATTTATCAGGAGCCCAGATTATGGAGATGGCGAGTTGACGTGCCAGCCAGCTTAACTTCCAACTAAGATTTTTTTCTTTTTCTGAAGGTCACTGGTTCGAATACATCGAAAATTGTAGTTTTCACATCTTTCACTCACTTGAAATGCTATATTATCTTTGGAGAAGAGATAGACCCATCAATATTAATACCGATCGATTTCGCCATGTACGTCTGTCTGTATGTTTGCACGCAAACTAGGCCCTCTGGGTTTGCTGATTGCACATTTAAAATGCTCATTTGTCGGAATAGGCCGGATCGGATAAGTATAGCTTATAAATGACTAATTTTCAGATTTGAGATTTTGGGTCATAACATAAATACCTCGGCTTGGCCGGAGATAGTTCATCTTCCTTGTTCTCCTTTCGGTTGCTCCTCGTCAGGGAATGTAAGGAATGCCATCGAGTGTATTTCTGACATGAAATAAAAAGATTCGCATAGAAATCCATCAGCCGTTTGGAGGCGGCTTAGTGTAAACTGTAGGTCCCTCCATTTGCTGGAAAAACATCAAGACGCAAAACCACAAATTGGAGCTGGAGCTCGTCCGATAAATGTTTTAGTGCTTTTAAAGTGTTAGTTATAAAATAATGTATAAACTACTTATTATTAAGTACTTTCATCCGCGACAAAATCATAAAGGCTTACCGCGGCTATTCTTATACCCCGAAGTTTCGCATGACTTAAAAAACCTAATTATGCATACTAACATAAGAAGCGTGAAAACGCATAACTGAATAAGTTAAATACACAAAAAAATATATATGTATGTATATATGATATGCTGTTAATAAATTTGGATTTCTTAGCAGAAGAAAAAGCAAGCTCGAGTCAAAGAAACTTGCCAGAAAAACATTTTAAAATTAATCTAAATTAATTAAAACAATAAAAGCAAACATAAAATTTATTTATATGTTGTATGTGTATGTAACGTTTATGTACATATGTACATACGAGTACACAATCGAGACTATGTGACGAATCGTCGTGCCACAGCGTATTGGACTGGGCGGTGAATGGGCGGATTGGAATGGTTAGTTGGTGGCAAAAAGAATTGTGTTTCATTAAATTTTATTTATAGTAAGCAATTTTATGCATCTAAAACGCGTCTATCATCGAATATCATGATGCGGAAAAAGCGTTGAACGCTCGTATCCAACAACCGCAGCCAATTTTCGGCGAGTTCAACGGGCTGGCGCAACGGCTACATACACATACACATACACATACTTAGGCAAAATGTATGGGTCCTACATATAAAGGCCTAGCAAATGTTTGTATCGAAGTTATTTTGAAGATCAGAAAAGACGACATTTTCTGACAATACATGCATACATATACTCGTATGCACATACATATATATAATATTTATCTCCATATAGA